TCTCCTTTTCTTATTTGCTTTTCTCCTGTGACCTTCACTTCCTTTGCTCTGCTTGCTGCTCTGTTCCAAGGGTTTCATCTGAGACGTCTCCGCACGTGAGGAGCAGGGCCGGGCTTTGGCATAAGCCGGTGAAGCCATCGCTTAGGGCAGCAAATTTTAAGGGGCATATTTTTTTTTTTTAATTTGTAAAGTTGCTAAAATAATACTTATTACTTATAGGCATAATTAATCAGAGTAATCTTTGTCGGGTCTTTTAATAAATCTATAAACTGTTTATTAAGAAATATAGTAGTTTAATTTATTATTAAATAGTTATTAGTAAATGTTTATTTTAAATCATTATTAAAAGGAAACCCTAATAAAAACTAAATCACTACGCAGTTTTTCTTTTTTTTTTCTCCTTCTCCTATGTTCCATCGTGCCCCCAATTAAGTTTATATTGCTTGAACTTCAGTTCTTCAATCATAGTATTTTTATTGACAAGACATACTAGATATGTGACTTATTTATTATTTTTGCTGCCTATGTGTTAACCAAACTTAGCGATATTCAATAATTCATAAAATATTACAGCAAAAATTAATGATAGTTTATTGTTAACTGGTCACTGAATCATGTTTGTTTTGAATTTTTCTTCCTTTGTTTGTCCAGGTTAAGAGAATATGCCACCATCACGAATAAGCAAAAAGAAACCATGTGGAATTAAGAAAAATCAACCATCGGGAGCTGAAAACAGAAGTAAGAAGAATAAACAAGAAGCATACTTGAAGTCAATAGAAGGTTCTATGTTCAGGTATGTCAAAAAAATTAATACTGAATCTGAGAGTTCTTCTGCGCAAATTGAAGAAGACAAAGATGAAGATGTCGAGGATAATGGTCAGAATAGTGAGCTTGAGAATTCAGATGAATGTGAAGAGACCCATCAAGATAAGACTGAAAACCAAGATGAAGAGAAGGAACAAGAAAAAGATATTTTTGATCCAGGAAACTGGGAACACATTGATACAGGATTGAGAGATTTGTTGGTTAAGAAGGGCCCTATGATAAGACTATCAAGTCAGTACCAGTTTCCTAAAGACAATATTGGTAGGCATTTTTCACATTCGTTCTACACGAGAGATATGGTTAACGGAGAAAAAAAAGATAGGCAATGGTTGATATATTCAAAAGCTTTGGATAAAGCTTTTTGTTTTTGCTGCAAGTTGTTCAGACATGAAAGTGGTGGTGGTAACTTGGTAACCACAGGATATAATGACTGGAGAAACTTTGCAAAAAGGCTGAAAGAACACGAAGTTTCTCATGATCATGTGATATGCATGACACGTTGGAAAGAGTTGGAGTTGAGATTACAAAAAAATCAGACAATTGATAAGCATGCTCAAGAAGAATTGAACAAGGAGAAAAATAATTGGAGAGAAGTATTGTTGAGAATATTTGCAGTGGTGAAAACTCTAGCTCAAAGAAATTTGGCATTTCGTGGTGATAATGAAAAACTTGGTGAAGCAAGTAATGGAAATTTTTTGGGTCTTATTGAGATGATTGCTGAGTTTGATACAGTGATGAGAGAGCATGTTAGGCGAATTGAGAAAAAAGAAATCTATGTGCATTATCTTAGTCATAAGATTCAGAATGAAATGATTGAAATGCTTGCTAAGGAGATCAAAGTTATGATCAAAAAGAAGATTCATGATTCAAAGTATTTCTCCATAATTCTTGATTGTACTCCAGATATTAGTCACAAAGAGCAAATGACTTTGGTTATTCGATGTGTGGATGTTTCTACAATGTCAACCAAAGTCGAGGAATTCTTTTTGACATTTTTGATTGTCAAAGATAAATCAGGAGAAGGGCTTTTTACTTCACTCCAAGATGCATTGGTTGAGCTATAAAGTTAGATATTGGTGATGTGAGAGGACAAGGATATGACAATGGATCTAATATGAAAGGAAAGAATAAAGGAGTCCAGAAAAGGTTGTTATAAATTAATCCAAGGGCATTCTTCACACCATGTGGTTGCCATAGTCTCAACCTTGTGCTATGTGATATAGCAACTTCTTCTTCAAAAGCTGTGTCCTTTTTTGGAATCGTTCAACGAATATATTGCTTATTTGCTTCTTCAACAAACAGATGGGACATATTGACAAGCACTGTTAAAGGATTAACCCTTAGATCTTTGTCTCAGACACGTTGGGAAAGTCATGTTGAAAGTGTCAAAGCAATACGATTTCAAGCTTCAGAAATCAGAGAAGCATTACTTTGCTTGGCTGAAAGTACTGATGACCCAGCAACACGAAGTAGTGCTGAATCACTTGCTTTAATTGAAACACATGGAATTGGAGGTTTTGAGTTTTTGTTTGGCATGGTTGTTTGGTATGACCTTCTTTCTGTTGTCAACACTGTAAGCAAGAGCTTGCAATCAGAAAATATTGATATTGATGCTGCGATTCACCATCTGAAAGGTCTTGTGTCATATTTTCAAAAATATCGGGAGACAGGATTTGAGGAAGCAAAAATTAAGGCTGGAAAAATTGCAGTTGATATGGAGATTGAAGCTGAATTTCCTGTGAAACAAAAGCATATTATAAGGAGAAAAAAGCACTATGATGAAGATACAGAGATAGTTGATGAGAATATGTTACTATCACCAGAGGAGAGTTTCAGGATTGATTACTTCAACACACTCATGGACCAAGCTCTAGTTTCTCTTGAGTCAAGGTTTGAACAATTCCAAAGGTATGAACAAACTTTTGGATTTCTGTTTGATTTAAAAAAATTAACAGCTGCAAGTGAAGATACTTTGAGGACATCATGTTTGAATCTAGAAGCTTCGTTGACGAATGGTATGCATTCAGATATAGTTGGTGATGATTTATTTATGGAGTTAAAGATTCTCCGAGAATCAATACCAGAGGAAGTTCCAAAGCCTATTGAGGTACTTGATTTTTTGAAGAAAATGGAGGATTGCTATCAAAACACAGAAATTGCTTATCGCATATTGTTGACAATTCCGGTATCGGTTGCAACAGCTGAAAGAAGTTTTTCGAAGTTAAAACTGATAAAGAACTATTTGCGATCTACCATGTCACAAGAGAGATTAAATGGGCTGGCTTTGTTATCAATTGAGACGGCTATGGTTGAAAGACTTGACTACATGAGTTTAATGAATGATTTCGCAGGAAAAAATGCAAGAAGATCAATATTTCAGTAACAAGTATCTTTAGTTCTATTGTTTTTGTTTTTTTTTACAACATTTTTGACATTTGCTTGTTTTATGGAAGTTTAATTTTTTATTACTCTTATTATATGACTTTGAATTATATATAAGGGAATAATTGTTTGACAAAAAAAAATATAAGGGCATAGTTTTTTGAATTGGCTTGGGGCATTATAAGATGTTGGACCGGCACTGGTGAGGAGCTCCGTCTCCGGTGTAGATTACGAGAGTTGGAGCGACGGCGCGGGGTTTGTGTGTTCTCAGGCTGAGGAGTCGGCTTTTAGGGCTGTGGGGGCTCCTTTAACCCCTTGGAGGGCCAGTAGCGCGTGGAGGCGGGTTGGAGTCTCGTCGTCGGTTTCTTCTGCAGTCTTCGGTCTGTATGGGTCTCGACGGGTGATGGTCGTGTTGTGTCAGTTCTCTGTCCTTTCCTGGGCGTCTAGGTCAGGCGGGATCTGTAGTACTTGTGATTTGAGAACTTCGGAGGTCCATTTACTCGAAGACGTTTGTAGCTCGTGCTGTTGGCGTGTGTCGGAGCATGCGGTGGTCTTGCGTGAAGTGCTGCTCCGGAGCGGTGTTGGAGGCGTCGTCTATGGCGTTTTCCAAGGCGATGTTGTGGCCTTCTTCTCAATCTTCCTTCCTCTTCATGTCTATTCGGTGTCGACAAACGGAGTGTGTCGACTTGCTTCTGCTTGGTTTCACTCTTGCTTGTGTTTTGTTCAAGCTTCATCCTTGCCACAGGTTGTTGCTTTCGGCGTCAAGAACTTACCTTTACCCGGTTCTCGGGGAGGCGACCTTCGAGGGTCTCGAGCATCTCTGTTTGTCAGCAGAGGCTTCTCATCCTTCGGTGGCTTGGTCGGTTGATGCGGCACTTCCCAGCGCCATGAGTTTGTTGAACTCATGGTGGTGTTGCTTCACTAACGTTTTTGCAGGTCTTGGAGTGTCTTCGGCTTCGTCTAGTCACGACTGAACCGAGTCCGTCTTTTATTTCTGCTTGGCTAGAGACTATCTATGGTGTCTAGTCCTGGATGTTTAGCGTTATAGAATTCTGCACAGTGAGTTAGGAGCGTTTTTCACTTGGTATGGCTTCTGATTCCTACTTCTATTTTCGTTTACGCGCTTAATGACGGTGAAAGTTATAAGTCCAAAGAGATCCCCGAGAGCTAGCTACTTTGGGAATGTCATGGAAGTTCCCGGCATCCAAGGCAACGAGGAGAACCTCACGGTTTCATGGTCATCATTTTCGGTGAGAACAGCAGTCGGGTCCTAGGAATTTTAAAATCGGGCTACCGGAACGTGCCGGGTTTAGTGGGTGGGCGAACGTAGCTTTGTAATACATTGACTTGGGAGCTTTTGTTCAATTTGGGCTTGTAACCGGATCTAAATTCCCGTTCTCGGGTTGAAATAAATATATATATATATAATTAAAAAAAAAAAAAGTTGTCCTGTTGTAAGCCTTTAAAAAGTGTTCCAAAAATAATGTTTTAGCAAACATGCATGAATCCTTTTTTTAGAAAGACCCAATATGTCACATGTAGTTCATGATCTATAAGAGTGTCTCATATCTGAAAAAGATGACAGGAAATACTAAGGCAGCAAGATACATCGACATTAATCTAAGCTTTGGTACTACTGATGTGAACGGTGAACCCCAAGGCATGTTAGTTTTCACTTTGCTGCATTCGTTTTTTTGGTTGCTTGTGTCACTAACATTTTTCTTTAGAAACTTTCTGCATGTGTTCATTCATATTGTCCAACCTAGTTTTATGGACTGATTCTCATTTTCTATATGTAACTGAAAAAAACATACTCCAAACAAATATAACATATCAATACAACCAAATATGAGAGCTAACTTATCCTGTCTCAATGAAACCTCACGTTACAAAGATCAAAATTAATTGTTTGTTGTCCCTGTAACCAGAGATGGAATGTATGAACTGGACTCTTGCACTAACAGAGACAAGTGTACATCCAAATCCAAGACATGACATGATACAAAGTTCTATCAAGAACACAGACGTGTTATTACTCTTCAGACATACAACGGTGAGGCCGAAGGGCGAGGATAAGCAACAACTGTATTCCCCACCGCGGTCTGTCTAGCAAAACCTGCGTCAGGTTTTTTGGTAACAACACTGTCACTTCTCCTACGCATTCTTCTCTCTGACCTATCCACATATCCCACTCCTCTAGAAGCATTTAGAGACTCAATATGCTCAAGCTGCGAAACTACTTCTCTCATGTTTGGTCTAAGCTTAATCTCTGTAGTAAGACATCTCAGAGAGAGAGTAGCCACTTTACATGCTTCTTCCATAGAGTACTGGTCTTGAAGACGATTATCAATGACTCTGAATACCTTCCTTTTGTTTGCAAGGTATGGTTTAGCCCACTCAACAAGGTTCCGCTCTACCGATGGTCTGTTTCTGTCCACGGCTCTACGACCAGACAACAGCTCTAGAAGCACTACCCCGAAGCTATAGACATCACTCTTTGTTGTTAGATGACCTAAGGAAAATGCAAAAAAGTGGTCAATCATAAGACACAAAACCAACGAGAGAAACAAAGATTTGAACATGACACTTACCGGTCGCAAGGTATTCAGGAGCTGCATATCCATGTGTACCCATGACTCGTGTAGAGACATGACTTTCATCTCCTATTGGTCCATCCTTGGCCAACCCAAAATCCGAAAGCTTTGCATTATACTCCTGCAACCATCCAAAATTTTATATCATAAAGCTGTTGAAACTTTCACAATCAAAGATGAGAGAAAACTTTATAATACCGAATCAAGAAGGATATTAGAAGTCTTGAAGTCTCTGTATATAACTCTTGTCTCGGAGCTGTGAAGAAAAGCTAGGCCCTTTGCAGCACCAAGAGCTACTTTTAACCTGAGTTTCCAAGATAACGGTTGGAAATATAACCCTCCTGCAACCCAAAAATATTCATAAACATCACAAACAATCTTTAGGCCTGGGATAAGAGAAAGGATAAGGAAAGACATACTCCTGAAAAGATGATTCTCTAGGCTACCACGTGGCATGAACTCGTAAACAAGAAGACGATGCTCATCCTCTAGGCAATAACCGATCAGCTTCACAAGGTGTCCATGAGAAAACTGACCTAGGTAATTCACTTCTGCCTGCAAAATCATATAAAGTTCATCAAGAACAGGAAAAACACAAAAAGTGTAGTTTATTTATTGTTTAGGATGATTATATACCAGCCACTCCTGGTGACCTTGCCAACCATCTTGGTTAAGCTTTTTGACAGCAATAACCAAACCGGTTCCTGGTTTTGTGGCGGTGAGAGACTTCTCATCAATCCATCCTTTGAACACACAACCAAAACCACCTTCACCAAGGACACTGTCTGGTCTGAAGTTCCTGGTTGCGGATTTTAGCTCTGAAAAGGTGAAACTCTTGAGGTTTGGAGACTGTAAGATCTCTCCTTCAGTTCGAGGGCTTGGTCTTACAGACACAGAAGAAGCTTTACTCCCAAGACTACCAGTATCTTTGACGTCAGAGCTCATGAACTTCGGACTTGCCCCTGAACCCACCAGAAAAAAACAGAGCAAAAATTAACACTTTCAGGTAAAAACAGAGCAATATTTAACACTTTCAGGTAAAAACAGAGCAAAAACTAACACTTTCAGGTAAAGACAGAGCAAAAACTAACACTTGCCGCTAAAAACAGAGCAAAATCTAACACTTTCTGGTGAAAACAGAGCAAAGCTAAGAACTTTTGCAACCACAGATGAACAGAGGAATGTAAACAAGTCTCATAGTTAAAGATGAGACAAGGCAAGTAAAAATGTGTATTACCTGGGCTCTCAGCTTTGACCTGAGCACTCAAGCAAGACCCCATGATTGAGTGGTGATTCTGTAGAGAGAACCAAAATTTGGGAACCTTGATGCAATCTCCAACTATATATCACACTTGAGACGAGAAAAAAATAAGGTACAAACTTTTTAATCAAGTAGGAGCTGGAAAGATATCATAATGTGAAAATAAAAGATTTTGCGTAACTTTTTAATCCACGCAAAAAGTGTTTTGACCAACCATGTTCATACTCACCTTTTTATTATTGGTTCTCAAGTGTTAACATGAGAGAGTGTTGAGAAAGGCGTTGCCGTTGGGTGGTGGTAGCATTAATGGTGGATGAGTCCTCCCTCTCTTCTTCTTATCAATTTTCGAGCTTCTCTTTCTCTCTCTCTCTCGTCTCTTGGAAACTTTGGTTTTCCTCCCTTTCTATCGTTACGTTTTATTCGTCATTTTTATATAGTTTCTTTTTGGTACTACGAAGACAGATTTGCATATGATGAAGTCAGAAAAGATAGGGTGTTCAGTCGCTCTCAGCCGTTGGATCTTACGTCAACACTGTTGTTCTCGATGTGGAATTCCAGCTGGTGTGGGTGGCTAGGCTCGGCTCACGTATTGTTAATTAGGCTCATTTTAGGTTTTTTTAATGATCTACCAAGTTTGTCATGTGACTTGGATCAAGCATAGACTCTGGTCGCTTAACCATGGATGTATGATTTTTTAGAGTAATCAACCGGATTTTAGATTTACAAGCAATAACTGTGATTTAGTTTTAGATTGAACAATAATTTTAAGTATGTGACTTATCGCACTGGTTTAATTTCTAAGATTTTCAGACTAATATTACTACAGTATCTAGTAAAAAACACACAGATTTTCCTTGTTACCAATTAACCCTTGCATACTGCTTTGATATCCTGCATGTTACTGATTACCCTTGCAAGCAGTGCGGGGTGTGATGGTTTCTTGAATTCTGAATAATATTCAAACTAAACCATGAAGGATCCTGGGCTCATTATAGAATCGTATTATCTACATTACTCCAGTTCTTCTAAGATATGACTGGATATGAAGCCAAGAAGTTACAAAAATAAAAATATGAAGCCTAGACCTCATATTTAAGAAATTAGAAGAAAAAAAGATTGCATTCGTAGAAGCTATTTAAGAAAATATTTGTCTAATCTTCCGAATAATATTCCTAAACATGCTGAGAGAATATATCAAAAATTTCTTATTTAATTTTTTTAGTAAATATATTGAACGTAGAACAATAACTTATTAATACTTTTTGATTGATAATATATCTATTTACAAAATATTAGTTAAATTATTATACCCGTTAGGTATGTAGTCAGAACACCTAGTTATGAGTAAATCAGCTTATTTGTTAGTTTTCGTAAGTTTAATATATAAACGCTTCTAGAGGCCAATCACAAAAATACTAAACGAAAGATCATTAGAAGTATAAAACCAGAGTATGATAAAAAGAAGTAAAATAGATAGTTTTGTTGTGATTCATATGTAACTTCAAAAAGGTAAGTTTATCTACAGATGATGAGTGACAAAGAGACGTTTGATTCTCATCTCAATGATATTGAGGAAACGCACAAAGTTAACAATTCTACTTAAATGGACATAGAACATGGCATACTGTCATTCTGAGTAGGTCCTTTAAGAAAACATATTAAATAATCGACACTAAAAGATATTGTTTTTTAGAATGAGTTGATAATTTGGTGATCCAGTACAAAAGCGAACAGATAAAAAGAGCTTTGGTGTATAATCGATTGTTAACCCTTTTGTCTCATTGGATGTCGTCACTGTGTGAACCGAATAGTTAGCCGGTTTGACTTTTACATCTTTGACGACCCTTGGATGGTGGACCCAGAGACAGACAAAATCCAATGCCCACTTGATAGCATGTCTGCCACGTGGTCGCCGCGCAGATTCACAGTCTCTTTCCACGGCTCCATCCCAACTTACGCGGCTTGAGCCCGTGACAAAGCAGTTAGTAGTTACAAAAGCTGTTATGTCTTTCCTCTAACCTTAGACAAAGTTTGAGGCTTGCAAATTAGATTGATCCAACGCAGGGAAAGATGCCACGCAAGTTGTTCTACAAATTGCCTGAACGAAATATTCTCGTTGCCTCGTCACCGCAAGGCCCACAACAATACATCTAAAAACTTATATAAAGCCCATCTAATATTTAGTTCTAATGTTTAGATCTTATTTTAGCCTAAACTAAATAACTAATCTTGCTAATACAACTTGGTTCAGCTTTCGATTCACTTAACTGTATTTTGTTTTAATTTGGTGTTTTAAAATTAAACAAGTTTATTACCTTTATTTGGATGTAAAAGCTAATACAAAAAAAGAATTATATTTTACCTGTAGCTTCATTTGACTAAAGAAATGATTGTTCATGGTCAGATATCTGATTAACCATGATTTCTAATATAGACAGGAGACAAAAAAAAAAGACTTAAACAAATCTTAACAATCACAAAAAGTCAATAGATATAGTATTCTTTTTAGGTTACAAATGGAAACATTTCACAACCACACATATAGAGATGTAAAGCAGGAAAAGTCAAAGTTTAAGAGGGGTTTTAGGCAACATAACGCCCAAATCTTTATTCAAACACACACACATCTCTTAATATCAAACATATTTCCCCCACTTTTCCTGCATATATATATGTGATTTAGACCACAATTTCTTCAACAGCTGCAGTTGTCCCCACAGCTACAGTTTGATCCGCAGCTGCAGTTGTCGCACTCCGTGTTGTAGTTCTTCTCGCAACTACACCACAACATAAAAATTCTGAGATTTTGATAACTAGTAAATTAAGGACTAATTAATCAACTACATGCGTATATGTGCATCATGCATGTAAAAGCAAAGAACATAGGGTTTACCTGCAAGAGTCACCACATTTGCAAGCGGAACCACATCCACAGTTAGAACCTGCCATTACCTCTCTTACTTCTCTTTGGTTTTAACTTGTAATTTGTTTTTTTCTTTTGATGCTCTATGTGCTATGATTTTGAACAAAGGGAATTGCCAGTATTTATAGAAGCGGAGAAAGATTCGGTGTCGTCTCCACCATACACGTGTCATCTCGTGTATGGATAAAATCAAAAATAAATGATTTTTGGTCAACAATCAAATTAAATGCTTTTGGAAGAAGTTATCACAAAGAGCATTTCAACTGAAACATCATCAAATTTAGCAGTGATTAAACTATTCCAAGTCGTCTGAAGTTTTTTAAAAAAAAATTTTTTTGTAAACTTGCTAAATTGCATATGAATAAACACTTTTGTCAACAAATAAACATTTTCATGGATCAAGAATATAGGCTGCAGAATTTATTTTATATACAAATATGTTTTATCACAAAACTATATATCGTTTTTCAAGCATCTAAATAAATGTGAATAAAATCAACCTTTTCTCTAACGCGAAAATAAGATCAACTTGTCCATTACCTTTTGTTATCTTAGGTTTGTTGTACCAGTTTTAAAAAGTAGTTTAATGTTTTATTTGAGATTAAGCAAGGAAACCGAGTATAAATAGATGGAGAAGGTCAAATTATTAGGGAATACGAAAAAGTCGTTCCATTAGCATCATCTAATAAAACTACTCTATTTTAAAAAAAAATCAACCAGCACGTCTATTATTCGTTAACTATATAACTAGTTTACTTTTGTCAAAAGTATTTATTTAAGACTATGTAAACAAGTTGCTCCGAGTTGTGCTCCTTGTGATAAAGACATCAGATATGTATGTGTATACATATAAATATTAAGGAGAGGTACAACATCCATAGACCGTGCGCGAAACTTTTTTAGTAAGAAACATTATCCTCTATTTTGAAATCTTCATGTGGCTATTTGGATAGTCACGTATCTAGTAGGATAGTAGAAGTTTGAAGATGGACGTGATTCACGTAAAAGCTCATATTGTAGATGTAGTTAGAGACGACTTTCAGTTTTGTAGCAAGAAAAAGTATATCAAAAGTTTATGGGATATCTAGGAGCACCAAAAGACTAATTAACAACCACACAATCTTGTTTGAGTTGAGTCTCTGTCTAAAGCTTCTCTCGAATCCACGACGGCACGACCTACGCTACTTCTTTTCACACAAGAAAAAAGGGAATAAACACATGATTATATCATAGATGGGGACATTACAAAACAAAAGGGCGTCGACGTTGGCTTCTTCTTGGCCCTTCAAGGTCATGAACTAATGCATTCACTTTTAATTGGCTCTTTCCTCTTTGATCCATCACGAATCCAATATTCTTTTCAGACTTCCTACGTGCTTGCCTCGTTTTACGTAATAAGAAAGTCAACACATATATTCTCCAATTTCAATCTCTCTGGTCCCATACCATATTCACAAGCATTTTCAGACCCTCTTTAAGCTCAGCAACACCAAAAATATACTCGCTCCTTTAAAGTTCTTCCAATCTCTCATCCGCACCATTCTCATCAATCTTGTTCTCCACTATCAAAGACGACTTATCAGATAACCCCCTTCATGGAACTCAAGCTCCATCACCAAATCTCTCAGTTGTTGCCACGGAGTCACTCCTTTGCAACCATCTAGCCCTAAGGGCAACATTATCGGTGGTCCTTTAGCAGAAAAATCCCTTAACGGGAAAGTCCCTTGGCTGGAAAATCTCTTAGCTTTTAACTAAACACACGTGAAGGGACTTTACGGATGTCCCTTAACGTGTTTAGTTAAAAGTTAAGGGACTTTCCCGCTAAGGGATCACCAATAATGCATGTTGCCTTAATGTCCCGCCGCGGTGGTCGGTGAAGATAATAAAGACCGAAGCCAAGGGTTTAACATAATGGTCTCGGCCCAATCACGGCCTCGTAAGATGACTTTCAAAAGCCCATGAATTAAAAGATACGTAAGAAACTAGTAAAAGATGAAAGCTTGTGTTAACCATTACTATAATCATCTCAAAGTCAGTTGCACATCCCATAACATATCACAAACTGTATGAAATCTTGAATTTATATCACTCAACCATATATATACATGTATGTAGACACTACTAAATGACATTACAACATATGTACACTACTAATAATCACAAATCATTTCATCTAGAACTTCATCAAAAATCATATCTTCTAGCTCAAGAGTCAACCATTCAGTTTCACCTCTAAGATTCATCCATCCATCACCTTTGGTAAGATCTCTTTCCACGATATCATCCAACGAGCGATCTCGATTCTCAGCTCCTATCCCTGAAAGGCTCCACTCGACTCTTCCCCAGACCTCATCAAGAAAACGTTTCTCATTTGGATATGCAAAAGAGAATGTCTTAGGGAAGTAGATGTATGATTGGTTGTGAGTCTCAGTGATTGCTTCGTTAACTAAATCAAAGAGAATCTCTTTGCTCACTTCTTCTGTTTCTTGTATGTCGACTTCGTAGAGCAGTGACGGATTCAGTGGTTGTTCCTCTGAGTGCCATTTTTCTCCATTGTAAACGTTTTCAAGGAAACCTGAAAGTTTTAGAACCTTCTTTACGTAACAGTAGTATGTGTCTTCATCATCTTCATCTTTATGGTTGTAACTCTCGAGGGAACTTAGACCTAAACCTGTATAACAAGCATCAATATTTTTCTCCCATCAAAGCATATGGATTATGTCGTGTTCAAGAGTTTACCTTGTAAGAGTAAAGTCTCTGTTTTTAGTGCAATATTATCCAAAGAACTTGGAACTGAATCTGGATCTTGTTGATTTAGACTAGAGTCTATTTGATTTTCTTCTTTCTTCTCTGTTATTGCCGAAGATTCTGATAACAATAAATATTTCCTGGAGCCCAAGTTAGTATCTAGGTCTACAGATTTCTTGGAGACCAAGTTAGTGTCTAGGTCTACAGATTTCCTGGTAGAACTTCCTCGGGGAGGTTCGGTCAGAAATGAACCAAGAACTTCAAGGCTGGACAATGAAGAAATCCTTCTGAAGAATTGTGGTTTATTATCATCTCTCAGTTCACTATTCTTCTCTTCGTATGAAAGTTTTAAGCTCTTGGAACGCAAGTCACCACTTTTTCTTCCAAAACTCTGTTCCAAGAGATGATATCTCCCCACGGAATCATTTTTTGAGACTGATGAGTACTTCTTATTATTCTTGGTTTGTTTTCGGTCTCGAAGAGCGTTCTTGAGCATCTTCTTGATTTCTCTAAATCCACTTATCAGCACATGATTGAATCCATGATCATCAGCTGAGCCACGAGAAGGTGAGATTGGTTTATGTTCTTGATAAGTGTCACTTGGAACAGATAAAGTTAACACAGCAGCCTTCCGTTTTGGAGCATACCAATTCTCCTTCTGCTTGTGCTCAATCCTAGCGGGACGTGAAGAGCGAGAGAGAGGAAAGGAGCCTGACTTGGGCAAGACTCTTGGACTAGACTTGAAATGAACTTGCTTCCCATACTCAGAGTTTGGATCTTTCAGTATCTTGACAGAAACATCTTCTTTCCTCAGGATTTCAAGAAAATCAACATAATCAGTGACTTGCTTTGTTGTCATCATCTTCCTCAGTTGTCTCGTTGGCTTTTCTGCACTAACAATCTTTGAACTTTTATTCTTAGAATCAAGAAAAGGTTGTTGTTCATCAGTTTCATACACAAGGGAATGGGTTCGTGGAGTCTTCCAACCTATGAAAACAGAGTAAACACAACTAAATTTATTTTAATACTTAGAAAAAGTAATAGAAGTTTTAGGAGATAGGCTTACAGATTGGACGGTTCTTAGTTCTCCAACGGTGAAAATCAAGTTTATGAAGCATTCCAGCTAACCAGCCTGATTTGTGGTTATATCCATGTCTTGGACTCGAACTCTCGCTTTTCATATGCTTCCCCATTTCGAACCCTTGGATCTGCAAAAAAACAAGGTTAGGTTACGTGTGAAGACAGAGTATAACAATAGCGACGTATTAGTAAAAAAAAACAGAAAACTAGTCGGACCAGACTAAGTAGCTTGTCTGAAACCGTCAAATCCAAAAAAGAAAAAAAAAAAGTAAAAACCAAATCAAAGAAACAGTTCATCTTTCTGGAGAGAAAAGCAAAAGAGGAAATGAAAGTCGCGGCAATTCTGAAAAGGAGGGAGAAATAAAGCTGTGTAAAGGGTTTATACAGTAGAAGCTGACCTGATGAGGAAGAATAATGAAGCTGACTGGGAGAGGAGACTAATTAATATGATCTCTAGACTCCGGTCAAAGATATTATTAGCTAGGCTCGAAGCTCTTAGAACTCATTACAACTACAAACCGAAGAACATAAAGGAACTAGAACAAAAAGAATGATGCAACGGAAGGTGTCTGAAAGAAGAAGGAAAACGAGGAAGACGTTGAACAAGAAAGTGAGACTTTTCGTTTATGCTATGTGGTTCTACTTTACCCGCCAAAGATGGCCCGGTCTACTGGTAGAAAATCGTGAAATGTCTGTTTCATATACATCTAACGCTCACACGCCACCAGAAGTATTTGTTTTTTTTTCTTCTTCCATAGAATTACATTATCTAGTATTTTTTCAACTTATAATTAAGATTAAAATAATAGACTGTTCATAGCATATACTCTATTATGTATTTTTCAAAGTTACTGTTGATATGAAATTTACTTAAATTTAGTCTTGATAGTCTTTAATACTTTTAAAAGAGATCATTTCCAAATCTCTTTTTTTGGATCAACTATCATTTCGAAATCTCTTTAATACTATTTAGAATAGAACCTCATAAATTTTTTCGGTCTCAATTTGAACCGATTTAAAATTTGATACAAATAGATAAAATAATAAGAATATTTTTTTTAGAATATTCTATGTAAATATATGACCCATTAAAATTATAAATTAATAATTATATATATATATATATTTTATATAAGTAATAAATATATTGTTTGTGTTATATTCACAACGAAGTTCTCTTGATATTGTTTTAACACTTATTATATTTTTGATGAGATTTGATAATATTATGTCTAAAACCACATTTAGATTTTATGCAATTTATATTATAAACACAAAATAATATAATAAAATTGATATAAATGTCAAATTTTTTAAAATAATAATTAATGTTTATGCAGTAAAATCAATTTTTTTTTTAGTTTTAGAAAAAATAATTTAAATTAAAAAATCTAAATATGGAAACTTTTGAAAAATTAATATCTCTATAAATTAATAAAATTTCAAAGTCCTAACATTGTTAATTTATAGAGGTTTACTGTATGTTTAGTAAGAAATTATACGATAGACAACACCAACTTCGTTTTGTTTTATTAATGTTTTGAAATTTTTTTTGTATATGCTACAAAAAGAAGATTTTTTTGTATCATACTGTTTGATTTATATATATGTTTGGGATTTTTACCAAAACTAACCCACAACTTGGTTTTAACCCCAATACTAGACCCCAACTTGAATCAAATGCAAATCTAACCTAAAAGGGCTATGAAATTACAGTATAGTGCTCTATGACCAAACAAAAAAACAGAAAACATTTTTACGAATATAACCCCAGTAAGTTGTCTGGGTCGGGCTGAGTTACTTTTCAGTCGTCTGGACGACTGAAATGTTAGTTGTCTGGACGATTGAATCTTAAAAATAATTTATAAATTCTGTACAAAATATTTTGATGAGTGAAAAATTAAAAACATGTAATTATAAACATTTATAAGTGATATAAATTAAGAAATNGTAGTATTGTATGTAATCTTAGGGTTAGATTTTGAAAAGCTGAAATGTTTTTTTGAAAAAATTAATTTGACCTCTATGTGTTTATTTCTGTGTATAGTAAACATTTTTCAAGTTTAAATTGATGTTTCGAAGTGTTTAATTAGAGAATAAAGTTTAGGGGTTATGTTTAGGGATTAGACGACTGAAATTTCAGTCGTCTACTTTAAATTATTTCCCAGACGACTGAAATTTCAGTCTTCTAATTGTACCGAACCGTTAATTTTAATATTTTACGTTTTAACCTAACCGGATTGTTACCGGACATATAAAAGTTATTTTTTTTTCACTTTTTCACAATTTTCCGAAACCCTTGCGCCGTTTCTCTCCAAGGACGATTGTAAAGGCGATTTCGACGAATCTCTCCGTTTTCGCCGGTAATCTCTCTGATTTCGACGAATCTCGTTTTTCTTTCATGCCTTAGAGTATTTCGTAGTTTAAATTGACCATCCGCTTCCTTTTTTTCAGATCTGAAATCTCGTAGCCCTTTCCTCCGCCGCCGGTATGTTATATCTTATGTTTTAAGGCGTTTAGCCGCCGGAAAACCCTAAAAATTGTAGTCTTGACTCTTCTTTTCCCTTCAATATGCAGATCTGTAACCGCTAGGGACCACATCTTCTCCGACTAAATCTTCTCCGACTGTAAGTCGTCATAGTAGTCTTCTCACTTCCTGGAAGCCTTCTACGAAGTCTTACTCTCTGGACGACTTACATATAAGTCGTCCAGAGAGTAAGACTCTGTAGAAGACTTTAAGGAAGTCGTCTGAGTAGTCTTCTCACTTCCTGGAAGCCTTCTACGAAGTCTTACTCTCTGGACGACTTACATGTAAGTCGTCCAGAGAGTAAGACTTCGTAGAAGACTTCCAGAAAGTCGTCTGAGTAGTCTTCTCACTTCTTGGAAGCCTTCTACGAAGTCTTACTCTCTGGACGACTTACATGTAAGTCGTCCAGAGAGTAAGACTCTGTAGAAGACTTCCAGGAAGTCGTCTGAGTAGTTATCTCACTTCCTGGAAGTCGTCTGCTAGTCTTCTATAGTATTTAGAATAGTGTGTTACCTTTGTGGTTGAGATGGTTGTTTGTGATTGTTTGCAGGCCTTAAAATGGATATATCAGAACTGCCGCCGAGGTTGTTTACATTAGGAGAAGAGCCCCCTGCACTGAGGAGCATTTCGTATCATTCTGATGACAAGAAGTTGTTTCAAGCTCTATCTGATAATCTCAGACCTGAGGAATATGAGGATCTGAAAGCGTNGTTGTTTGTGATTGTTTGCAGGCCTTAAAATGGATATATCAGAACTGCCGCCGAGGTTGTTTACATTAGGAGAAGAGCCCCCTGCACTGAGGAGCATTTCGTATCATTCTGATGACAAGAAGTTGTTTCAAGCTCTATCTGATAATCTCAGACCTGAGGAATATGAGGATCTGAAAGCGTCAAAGTTGGGAATATTCATTAAGTTCAAGGAGCTTGGCTTTGTTTGGACTTCAAGGCTTGTACATTTTATTCTCTCCTTCCAGCTGGACATCAAGAAGAAGTTTGAGCTCTGGACTCTTGCCGGACCAGAAGCTTTGAGGTTTTCAATTCTAGAGTTTGAAAACCTCACAGGTCTGAACTGCGACTACATCCCGAATTTGGAAAATCCAAGGTGTGAGATTTCTCAGGAGATGACTGCTTTCTGGGAGAAGATGGGTGTTGATCCCCATGCTGGGCCAAGCATTGAACAGTTAAGAACAACATTTACCAAATGTGACGGGTGGTCTCGGGATAATCGAATGCGGCTGGGATACCTTGCCATCTACACAGGATACATTGAAGACAGAAAGTTCTCTTCTCTTACACGGGCTAGTCTTGCAAGGCTAGTCATGGACTTGGAAAAATTTGAGAATTACCCATGGGGAAGAGTGGCGTTCAAGGTTCTAATGGATTCTTTGAAGGCAAACCGACGACTTAAAGTAAGGAGCAAAAAAAGGTCGTCTAAAGACATAAATTAAGACATAAATAACATCCAGAGAGTACTAAAGACACAATAATAAGGACATAAATAACATCCATCTTCGTCTAAAGACATAAATAAAAACATAAATAAAGACATAAATAAGGACATAAATAACATCCAACTAAGTCGTCTGTAAGTCGTCTTTGAAGTTTTTTCCTGGACTACTTGCAGACGACTTAACTTTAAGTCGTCTGCGAAGTTTTTTTCTGGACGACTGAATCGAAGGTCGTCTGGACGACTTACTCTACGGCTATTCTTCAACCGGGTTCTTACATTGTGGACGCTTATGGCCCGTTTCTTTGCATCCCGAGCACCTATAAACGCTGTGTTGCTTCCGGGGTTTGTGTCCTCTCATCCTGGATAGCTCCAACCATGATTGCCATCTTGATTTCTTCTGTCTCCCTAGACCACGCTTTATTTTCGGAGGAAAGCATGTGCGTGCCTCAATTTGTTGTCCAACACAAGGATATATATTCTCTGAATATCCTGCAAACAAAGTATGCTTTGAATATACCGGAGATACAAGTGTGGAGATATGCGAACCAGCTGCTGTTCCAGCTGCTATAGCATGACAACAAGGGATTTTCTCAACTTGATAGACACC